AATGGAGACGGTGAGGAAGAGGAAGAGGAGGAAGAGGAGGTACAGGGGCTGAATCTTTACATGGATCACAGTGCAGAAGAGGAGGGAGAAGGTGAGGAGGATGAGGGTGGAGAAGGTGAAGAGGAGGAGAAAGATGAGGTTGACGATGAAGATGGGGACCTGTCTATGGAAAGTGACTTGGAGGAGCGCCGTCAGGACACCAAGCTTCCCCATGAGCTCTCCTGGGGCCAACGCAAGCAGCTCTACTACGACACTGACTACGGGAGCGATGCCCAGGCCAAAGGCAAACGTAGCCAGCAAGAGGTCGATGCTGAGGAGGAGGAAGAGGAGCAGGAGGCTCAAGTCATCCAGAGGCGGTTGGTGCAGGACTTAGGGGAAGATGATTACGGGCTGGATGTGATCCAGGGTTATCTGGCTGAGCAGCAGAAAACCCACGACAGCAAGGGGCAGAAAATTGACAAAGATTTGCAGGCCCTTTCCAAGAAGGAGCAGCTGAAGCTACTGAAGCAGGAGTCCCCTGAGCTCCTGCAGCTGATTGAGGACTTTGAAGTCAAGCTAATGGAGCTCAAGGATGAACTGCACCCGCTGCTGCAAATGGTCAAAAATGGCACTATCCCGCAAGGGAAAGGCAGTCGCTATTTGCAGACCAAGTATCATCTCTACTTGAATTACTGTGCCAATATCAGTTTCTATTTGGTTTTGAAGTCCAAGAGGATGCCGGTTCATAGTCACCCCGTTATTGAACGGCTCGTTGCTTATAGAAATATAATCAATGACCTAGCTGTTATAGATCAAAAGTTATCCTCGCAAGTTCGTATGCTTTTGAAAAACTATTATGATAAGAAGGAAGATAAATTACGGAAGGAGAAGAAGTTTGAGGTGTTTCTCACACTGGATGTTAAGAAAAACAAACCAAAACGTGCTCCTGTACTTGCTAACGACCGGACTACTGCTGATGCAGATGAGTCGGACCTGGATGAAGAGGCTGCCCTAAAATACTATAAGATGGTGGAGGAGAAGTTGAAACTCAAGAGGAAGAGAACTGAAGACCAAGACACGCTTGAAGAAGAAGCGGTGTTGGAAGGAGAGGATCCAAATAAAAAGAGAGGTGTGACCTATCAGATGATCAAGAACAAGGGCCTCACACCCAGAAGGAAGAAGATTGATCGCAACCCCAGGGTCAAGCATCGGGAGAAGTTTCGGCGAGCTAAGATTCGCCGCAAGGGCCAGGTCCGTGAAGTTCGGAGGGAATTGCACAGATATGCCGGGGAACTCTCTGGCATTCGCGCGGGAGTTAAGAAAAGCAGGAAGCTTCAATGATACTTATTTTTCTCTGTTTCTGAGAGCTGCGAGTAGCACTACTGAATCCAATAAAAATTTTATAAAAGACAATTGTGGTTTTTATCCTTAAGAAAACTGGGGGTGGGGTGGTATTTGTGTGTTTGCTGAGGGTGCTTTTCAGAAGGTGCCACCTCTAAAAGTAGTACAGGGGCCTTTCCCCGCCCGGCCTGTGTGTTAAGGTGTTTTCCTCTATTGCGATGCTGTCGTCTTTCCATACTGTAAATACCGGCTTCGAGAGGCTGCAAGGGATGCGTCAAGCGAAGGGAATGCAATGGGCCGCGCGGGACTGATGGGGAGATGGGATGGGACGGAGGGACCTGCCGAGGGCGGGTGAGGATGGGATTCGTGCAGCTGTCACTGCCTTCTCCTCCTTCTTACTGTCTTGGTCTGGTCCCTCCTTTTTCTGTGTTAAGCTGCAGAATGAGATATGTGTGGTTATGGTATTTTCTCTAACTCTTGTTCTGATTAACTCGGTGTGCTCATACCTTTAAGAACTAGCTACTTTTAGGCTCGCCTACATCTTTGTAATTTTGTAACTGAGCAGAAAGCTATTACTTAAATCCCATGTGGCCTGAGGTAGTTTCCCCTCCTTCTGAATTCACTAAGCAGCAAAGCAAGGACTTTTTTGGATTTCATAGTTATTTGTATCTGTGATAAATACATTCACTTCATCTATGATAAATATGTTAATTATTGTCTGCTGTTATAGGTCTAACGTAGCATTGATACAGGACAAACGGGTAAGATGTAAGGTTGTCTTCAGTTTGAAGGTCAACTTTCAAAATGTTTCCATTTCTTCCATGTCATTTGGTGGGAAAACACATTTAACCCCACTCTGAAGTTCTTGCTGGGAGTGGCCAGTTCCAGTTCAGGCTGTAAAGGAGGAATGACTGATTAATTTTTCTTAAAAGTTTAACACTGTCTCAGGTAGGACCTGCGCTTGTGTCTGAGACAGGTTTCGGGGGGGCCCATGCCTTGATTTGTGTACCAGTAGCATCTGACAGGTACTACTCTGTGTCCCATGTGAAATCAGTTCAGAGGAATAACTGTCTTGTCAATAAATGCTGTTTCATGTTATGGAAGCACTAGTCTATCTAGGTGGTTTGTTTTGGGTTTTTGTTTTGGTTTGGTTTTTTTGTGTGATAGTCTTGGGGGAAGCCAAAGTACAAGCATGTGTTCTTGAACCTGTGACAGGCTAGATGCTATAATTCAAACATGCAGGCGCTCTGCTCATTTTCTGCAAGTGAAATGTGCTTCCGTAGGTTTTGATGTAAACCTTTACATCCTAGGCCTGTTTCTGTCAGGAACATGCTGTTAATTGCTGCCTGGAGAATATTTTGTTAATTTTCATCGCTGATTGTTAAAGGGAGAGGTAGAAAAACAATAAACGTAAGCTGGACAGGTGGGAACAGAAGTAAGGACACTTTTTTTAGTCCTTATATGTCCCGGATCCATGGGATGTGGAGCTATGCATGGTGATTTTGGAGGGGTTCTGCTATGGTAGATAGATGTAGAGGACAAAATAGTGAAATGACAGGTTCTGCTGGCTTTAATGGCCCTGCATTTGTTTGCCCCCTGCTGCTGACAGGCCAAACAGCAGTTACAGGCTGCATAATTTAAAAAAAAAAAAAAAAAGTTCCACTGAAACAGGCTACAAAGCATTGGGAATTGATTCCCGTCGTGAAATCGCTTGGGAGATTTTTGCCTGCCTGCAGAGCTGTGGCATTTTGCATGGCGAGAGGTAATGGAAATTACAGTAAGGGCCCGAGGAGTGTTGATGGCAGCAGAGAAGAAAAACCTGGTGTTTCAGGTCAGTGCTAGGACTTGCTGCCTGTGCTGGTAGCAGGTGTCTGTATGGGAAGAGGAAAGGTGGCTGGTAAGTGCAGGAGTAAGGATTAATTCGTCACATCCTGCAGTGGCTGGGGGTGAGCCACATGCTTTTCATGTGGCGAAATCCTTGCGAAGGGGAGGAAGGATGTTAAGATCAAAAGAACCTCCTGGGACACGGAAATGAATGCAGTCCTTTGCATGTAGCGAAAGGGAGCTAGGGCTCTTGTACGAGGTCAAAAGCTGGACAGCATTTGAAACATGAGGTTTCCTGGCAGCAACTGTTTTAAGATGAAAATCGCAGTCTGGAGCCCTGCTTTTCCAGGGAAGCTGGGGTTAGCTCAGCTCCTCGGGCCGAGGTCTGTGCTGAACCCTGGGCCTTGTTCTGCAAGAGGGTCACTGAGGCTTGCTCGAAGAGGTCACTGAACGTGTCTTTTCATTTGAGCAATGCTCTGTGTAACCTGATGGCCTCAGGTGAGATGGGTAACCTATTACCTGTGGGGATTAAGATGTCCTTCACCTGTGCTTACTCATCCTCTCTTACTGTGAGCGGCAATCACCAGCGTTAGCAGCTTGCTGTTCCCAGTGAGAAAGGCATGGCTTTTACTGGGTCCTGGCCTTACCAAGGAGGGAACTAGAGCTTTTCCCAAAACTACACCTTTTATTAACTCCGCGCTGGAATCACGATGGAGGCCATCACTGATAATGCTGAGCTACGCTCCTGAGGCTTTGCGAAGAGGTGAGTAAAAGGTAACTTGTGGGGGGGGGGGAAAGCATCTTAGGTGCTTTTTCTGGGGAGGAATGGTGCTGCATAACAGGCACCGCATGGGATGAGGAAAATATCTAGCAGAGATGCTAACTGATCTCATTACTACAGCAGCTGCTCACGTGCGTTTCGCACTTTGTGCAAACAGGAAGGGCTGGTGATCTTCCGTAGATCTGCAGGCGAGCTGTAAGTATCCAAGGCGGCTTTGTGTTCCCTTGAAAAGCTTTAGGCAGCTTGCAAGCAAATTTCTGGCAACTTCCATCTGAGCAATAAATTAGGGAAATAATAAATTAGTGCACTGTTACAGACGCGCTCCCCAGAAACGTTGGGATGAAGGCTGAAGGCAAGAGGGAACGCAGCATATCGGCACGCCCAGCGCAGGCAGCCAGCAGATGGCACAGCACGTCTCCCTGGACCACTGTGCCAACCTGTTTTAATGAAGATTAAACACGGCATTATGTTCAGTTGCTTAGTTCAGATATTGGACAAAGCCATAAACAGTTCTTTCCCATATGGTTTTATGTGTGAGTGATGATGGGAAGGCCGTGATTACTAATGCCATGGGAGGGGGGACACTGTAACATTACTCTAAGAAATACTTCTTAAAGGGATATTTTGTGCTGAAGGGAAATCCCTGGTGGTAAATAGGTTTTGAAGATCCCTGTGAAAATGGACATGTGCGAAATAGGGGAAGGATCACAGATGATGGTCAGGAAAGTAAGTGAGAAGGTCACGGTTAACGCTGTGTTTTTTTTCCTTCCTCCAGCAGTGTTTCTGGAGAAGGTGCTGACACTGCCAAGCGACGTGCTTCAGCCGTGCGATGGCACTCGTCCTCGCCAGGCTCCTGCTTAGCAAGCGCCCGCTGCCCTGCTCGGGAAGGACTGGTGGTGGGGTCTGCCTCAGCAGCACCTAATGCAGGTTAGGATTTACACGCTCAGGCAACACCTATGCCTGATCTGAATCTCCCCGCGCAGCCATGGAGATACCTGCCCCTGTGTCCTTTTCATCCGCTTGCTTGCAGCATGGGAATTCCACAGATAGTCAGTCCCGTGTGCACTTGAATGTAAATGATTCATATTTAAAAAGCACACAGGCAGTGTGTAGAAAGCTCTAAAGAGAGGTATGAGCCGCTCTGTTGTGTTTTTACACCTGGAAAACATAATCCTTGGTGGGTGATAAGCATCCAGACTAAGCCTGGCTTGCCTTTGGAAGCTTGGGTAGAAAAAGTACGGGGGCAGAGAGGCGGACAATGCTTTCTGCATCACGACCTGAAATTTCTATTTATACAGGGTAAGGAAAATATTGAATAACTCACATGGAAATATATCTGCTGCTGCCTTAAAGTTTGTCAAGGCTTTCCTAGTTGTCTTCCATAATATTCTACCAGCAACAGTCTGGACGTTGTTTTACTCTTGCAAATACTAGCAAATAGAAATTCAAACATCCAGCTTTGAGATTTGTAAAATGGATTAAAGCATCTGTTGAATTAGTTGCAACATGTTGCATGACTTGGGGCAGCACTGGAAAAAGCGGTCTCCAGAAATCAGTTGCCTTTACAGCTTTGCTTCTGCAATTTTCAGGCGTGATTTAAAAAGAAAGAAGCAACACGTTTCAGCTTAACCTAAGTGCACTGAATGTAGGACATTCTTCAAAAACTGGCAGATTTATGGTCTTTCTCCCTGCCCGTTGACAACACTGCAGTCCACATTAATTGCCCTGCCTTAGTGAGACATCTTTGTTACTGTCTTCAGAAAGACAGTCTCCCATTGGTATGGCCTATTTGGTAGTTTTAATAGTAAGGAATATATTTGGACCTTGTATTGTCACCTCTTGTCAAAGGATCTGAAAACGCTGCTGTCCACGAGACCTTACCCTCAGGAAAGCGAGGGGGAGGCAGGAGATGGTGTAATGGCTTCTCTTCACGGGTAAGTTAAAGCACGTGGGAGTCTGCCTTCCTCGTTGCTGTACGAAGGTGGTTTCTTAAGATCAAAATCTGTGTTTCCCTGTGCAGTCTCTGGTCCCGCAAAGGCGACTGCACACGCACAGGGCTGCGGCCTCCTTCCTCCGGGCTTGGTGTAGAAATAGACCATGAAATACACGGGATGGGATAGTGTCTCACAAGTGCTTTTCCACAGCCAGCGGTCGGGGTGGTGTTAGTAGCAGGGCTGGGAAGCTTATGCTAGAAGGCGAGGTGGGCTTGTCTTTAGTTTGTTTGTTCCTGAAGTGTGAGAAAGATGAAGCGGCAGCAATTAAAAAGAAAGTGTTAAGGGTATGAGCCTGGGAAAAAAACCAAAACCCTCTCAGAAGAGGTGTGGAAACAAGGTCCTCTCCATACCACCCGGAGCCCCTGCACCTATCAGGGGGCTGTCGTGGTTTAACCTCCGTTTTTTGTCAGCCTTCTGTGACAGGCAACCTCGGCGGGAAGCCGTGGCCTGCTGCCCCAGCCCGGGCCGAGGGA